AACCTCAGCCTCCCAAAGTGCTGTAATTACAGGCATGAGCCCCCAGGCTGAGCTTTCTGCTATATTCCAGTGACCTATACATCTGTCCTTAAGCCAGTATCATACTCTCTTGATTACGTTGTAGCAAGTTTTGAAATTAGGAAGGTAAGTCCTCCAACCTTGTTCTTCTTTTTCAGGATTATTTTGCTTATTCTGTGTCCTTTGCATTTCCATATGAATTTTAGGATCCCCTTGCTAATTTCTGCAGAAAAAGTAGCTGGGATTTTGATAGGAATCAGGTTGAACCTGTAGACTAATTTGAGGAGTACTGACAATAATATTTAGTCTTCTGATCCATGAAAATGGAATATCTTTCATTTATTTAGTTCTAATTCAGTTTCTTCCCACAGTGAGTATTTTATTCTTTGGTGCTATTGTAAATGGAATAATTTTCTGACTTTCATTTTTGGATTTTTCATTGCTAGTGTACAGAAATACAACTGATTTTTGTATGCTGATTTTGTGAACTTGCTGAACTAGTTCTAGTTTTTTTTTTTTTTAAACTGGATGCCTTAGGATTTTCTGTATACAACATCATGCATGTGGGAGTAAGACAGTTTTACGTCTTCTTTTCTAATCTGGATCCTTTTATATATCAATCACCTAATCACCCTGGCCAGAACCAAAGCTGAATAGACCTGCTGAACATGGCCATCCTTGTCTTGTTCCCAGTCTTAGGGGAAAGCGTTCAGTCTTGCACCATTAAATCTGTTAACTGCTAGGTTTTCACAGATGCTTTTCATCATGTTGATGAAGTTCCTTCCTGTTTCTAGTTTGTTGAGGGTTTTCTTCCATGCATGGGTAGATAATTTTACTCTCATTTACAGAAAAGGAAACCATCATTCAGGCAGCCTGCCTCCAAAGATCAAGCCCTGCATCACTGTGCTATCTCTGCAGCACACTCTTCCATTTAATTTTCCCTCTGCCACTCCTCTGAATTCCCTCTTTCAGTTCACTTGGGATGTTGGTGTTCTCCAGGACACCAACTCTTTGCTCATGTGCTTCTCTCCTGAAGTGGGAGAATGGCTTCAGCTGTCACCTGCAAGCTGATGACTCCACACTCCCTATTTTCTTGCCCTCACTGAGCTCTGGTGTGGCCTCATGCTTCCAAGACTTTTCCACTTGGATATGTCAAGAAATCTCAAACATCCTGTCCTAGAATGCCCTGTTACCCGCCTCCACTCAAGAAGGCTCCTCTGACTCTATTTTCAATATTGGATGCTTCTGCTATTTGTCCTGTTCCAGCCTGAAACCTGGCCACGATCCCACATGTTTCCCTCTCTTCGGCTCCTCCTCTCACCTTTTCTAAATGGTGGCCAAGTTCTACCTCTGTTCTTTCTTCACCTGTACTGGTACTGCCTTGCTCCTGCCTCCAGTCTCATTCTCCTCAAATTTACTCTCCAGGTTACCAAGAGAGTGATTTATCTGAATTACAGATCCTCTGATACTTAGCCCTTCACCAGATCCCTATTCCCACAGCACAGGAACCAAGGCCTTTTCTCATCTGTTCCATTTCATGCACTAGGAACTTCCACCAAAGACTGAAGTCACTAAATGCAGTTTCTCATGTCAGTTTTAAGAGCTGTATGCTACTTTCATCATTTGGAGATATTAGAAATTATGTTACTAGTTCTAATTTACTGTCTTTTGCATGTCATGTTGCCTCATGCCTCAGTGCTTCTTGTTTACTCTGTTGTCTTTTTTTTTTATATATTAAACTTATTTAAATAGAAATAGGGTTCTCGTTGTATTACTCAGGCTGGTCTTGAATTCCTGGGCTCAAGTGATCGTCCTGCCTCAGCCTCTCAAAGTGCTGGGATTACAGGTGTGAGCCACCATGCCCAGCCCTGTTATCTTGTTTTGAGAGGTTCTTCCTCTTTCCACATCATCACCTCTAGTCCTTTGCATCTTGAAAATCCCTACTCACTAGGCCCTCCTCTTTGAACCTCCTCCTAACTCTTGCAGTGTTAATTATGCCCTCCTTTGTGTTATTTCAGAACACTACATGTGCTTGTAATATCCCATGTGTTGTCCTATAAGTATTTGTCATTTTCTTACTCTCACTCTGAGTTCAGTATTTACACTAGATTTATCTTAAACACTCTTATAATTGCCAGCATATAGAAAGTGCTTAAGAAATATTTGTTGTAATCACCTGAATTAGGATTTATCTATAAGTCTCCTTGCTTTTAATAGATCATTTTCTAATTTGTCAGTTTAAATACATTTTAAGAGAACACCCCATCCCTAAGCCAAATTGCTTCTTATGCAGAAAAAATAGCCACTACTGTGAGTGTCCAAGCTTCCCCCTGCACAACCACCCTAGGAGACATGGGCAGAAGTACTGGGAACTGACCCCTTCCATCTGCCCTCACTTAGCTTCCTTGGGTACTTATATGGGGCTGTCATTGACTTTACATGCTGCTGCAGCTCCTTGGTCAGCTGGCTCTTGTCATGAGACAGAAAGTGTGGGGTCAGGACACATTTCTCTGTGAAATGGGAACAATAAAGATTCCATTCCTCATTTGGTTTCTTTAACGCTTCCATGAGATAATACATATAAAACATCCAGGTAGTTTGCATTATTATCCCTGTCATCAGTACTTTCATCATTATTTTTACTATTATTATATATGCAATGCTGTGCCTGTAACCCAATGGGCATTTGATAATTCTTGACAATTTATTATTCATATATTAGCAGTGTTATCCCCATTTTATTGCACAAGGTCTTGCAAATAGAAGGTGCTCAATAAACACTTTTTAATAAACAAATGCATGTTTGTTCTTCAGCCACATTACTGAAATGCCATTCTGGCTCCACCCCTTGCTAGTTGTGTGATGCGGACAGGTTACTTAACTTCCTTCTGCTCCTCCTTCCTCATCTATAAAGAGTAAAAGAGCTCTTAGATTATTACATTTTGTGACGGTTAAATTATTTGGCATGTAGTATGTGCTCACTAAATATAATCTGTCATCTTTATCTTCAGAGCCACAGAGAGGCCGCAGTACCTCCAGGTCACTATACTGTGTAAGTGCACATGCACACTATGCCGTCTTTCCCCTAAGGTGACCCAGGTAAAGCCTGGAAGTTTCCCTGGCATCTGCTTTCCTAGTGTCCATGTATGGACACGATGATCTCTGTGTTCTCCTCACTTCCCCTTGAATCAGGTCTGGGCTGCTCACCATGGCTGACTCTGCCACTGCTGGGTGGTCCACCAAAGCATGCTCCACCTCTGTAGGCCCAATGCCGTACCAGGAGGATGAAGGGTTCTGGGGCAGATACCAGGGCTGGGGTGAACTAAGTCCTCAAATCTCCTGCTTTGGAGAGTCACAGCTTCCTTTGGCACAGAGGGTAGAGGTCATAGGGAGCCAGAGACTCCTGATCTGTCTGTGCCACGGGCCCAAAATTTGAAGACCTGGACATTGTAGGCTGAGAAGTAAGACTCCAGTGCTCCCAGGGCTTCTCGCCTCACTGCCTTTATTGACAAAGAAGGGCGAATGCTTAGTTCCCTGGGCCCTTGGGCCATGCAGCTTTGTCAGACACGAAATCTCTTGGAAACCTCAAGCTTGGTCTTAAACATTTGTGCAAATTCTGCACACTATTTCCCATTGTATCAGCATGATTTTTGGCTTTTATTATATATATTCAAGGCATAAAACATGATGTTTTGATGTACATATACATAGTAACGCGATTACTACACTCAGGTACCAGTATATCCATTATCTCACATAATTACCTCTTTTTTTCTTTTGTGGTAAGAGCATTTAAAATCTACTCTCTGCAAATTTCCAGTACATCATGTTTTAGAAATTAAAAAAAAAATCACATCCATTTCTCTAAAATATCCAAGAGAAATTGTTACTGTAGTGTAATGTGCCTTTTAAAAAATCACGTAGGGGTTAGGGACAGGGGCTCAGAGCCAGCCTGCCTTAGTTCAAATCTGGATTGCACCCTGTGCTATCTTTGAGGCTTCAGGCAAATTTCTTCACTGGTCAGTCACCCAGTTTCCTCATCAGTAAAATAGGG